CCCCAAAACCCCAAAACCCCAAAACCCCAAAACCCCTTTTAAGAATTTCGAGATAGAAATTTTGGGCAATAAGATCTTTACAGTTAATATGAAACTGTCTAGCATAAAGCAAATAGCTGGGTAAAGTAATAGCTCCCGCAGATGCAATAAACAGCTATAGCACAGTGAGTTGAGGCACTGAGTAAGTTCTTTCTATGTCCTGGGGAGTTTATCCAACCTATAACGGCTGTTTCTACGGGGTCACCACAGTTACTATTAAATGCAACGTTCTCACTAAATGATCTATGGAGAGGGTTAACAGAAGGTCTTACTTGACAAAGAAGGGAACTTTGTTCATTCTGTCTTTAAATCCAGCATGGCCAACTGGGACTTTTCCCTCTGCCATATTCTTTGAATGCTCCATAGCAATTTTATAGAGCTCGTCGTTCCAGATCAGAGGCGGTTTTCCTTCTGTGGCTCTGAAATTATTAGATAGCTCTAGTGATCTGATCCCTAATTTAGTGTTATTTTGAATTTGGAGTTATAAATAATAAACAAATAGGTTGATTTTCTAAAATATAGGTAAGGCTTACCCAGTCTTTTAATATCAGTGGATGATACATTGAGAGATTCACTTTTGTTCATCTTCTCAAGGTCTTTCACAGTGATCTCTCTTGGAACTCTATAGTTATCTTCTCTTTTCTGGGTTTTGTAATTTCTTAGCTGGTCAACAACAGAATTTGAGGAATTTTGTTGAGTGTAATTTGAAGCACGATAAGGGTTATTCTGATACACATGTGGAGTAGTCATCTTCCTCATCTCTCGTTGTTGAGCTAGATCATACAATAAATTCTTGTTATTCTTTTTGTTATTGGCAAGTTTATCACAAGCAGCTCTTCTCTTAAAATTCATTGGGACGTATTTATTATTGTAGCCTTCAAGAGTTGAGTATGTTTTAACCTTTGACTCAGGTTTAGCAACTTCAGGATCATCAGATCCTACTTTCACTCTTAAATCAGCTGTTGGGACAGTAGGAGTTTTGCACTCTCCATCAATTCCCAATTTCTCTTTAATGGTGCTATTTAGAAATTCAAGTGTCTCAAAGTTGAAGAGCTCATACTGCAAATTGTAGACATCAAAAGTTTGGGTGGTGAATTGATCGATGGTTTCACTTTCTTTGGATAATCTAAAACCGACAAGTTCTAGAAGAAACAAGGCAGGTGCGTATTTTCCAACAGTCTCTTTGATTTTCTTATTGTTTAGCTTAATTTTATGGAATTTCGTATTATTTGGATCTTTTCATACATTCCCGATAAGTTTGCTCAAAATAGTAAGAACTGATTTAAATTCTTTATCATCATCGATGGTTGTTTGAAGGATTACCATATATTCCTGACATAAGTCTCTGGTAGGATCAGATGAAGCAGGAGGTTCTACTGATAATTCTTCGACGCTCTCCTTTGATTCTTCATAAAAAGGATTTTCTACTTTTTCCTCCTCCATGATTCTGGATTCTTCTTGTGATCCTTTTAAGAGGTCGTTTTGGGTAAAGAAACCTTCCTCCTGTTTGTTTTCTTCAATTAAAGGAGCTACTTGTGATTTCTTTGCCCCAAAAGATTGTAAGCTTATTTTGATAGCTTCATCGAGCTCTTTATTGTGATCAGCGTTATCTTCCATTTTATACTATTTGTTCTAAAAATTTATTGGTATTTTTGGATAAAAAATTTACGTCTGGGGTTTTGGGGTTTTGGGGTTTTGGGGTTTTGGGG